CTCAGTCGAAATGTGCTTGCTAGCCAGCTCCAAGAGCTCAACTAAGGTCCTTGGCTTTTATAAGCTAATTACATATCAAAATGGGCAGTAGCGTAGGCCTTGAGCTAGTGTTGCATGAGGAACGGCGAGCTCCTAGTCTCTAACATTTAGCATTTCCTGTTGGAAATGAGTGATGAAGCTTCTGAGGCTTTATGAAAACCGTCGATTGACCTTCAGAAGGGTTTGGGAATTCTTTTGCGGCTTCTAAGCACTAGCAAAATGTGCTACAAATATGCATTTGAATTCTCCAAACGAGGTGAACACTCCCGTAGGCAAGTTGTTGAACCATCGCAAAGCTGATTCCTTTAGCATCATGAAGATCCTTGTGTCAGTTTAGATAACATTAATATTTCATAGTATCGCTTACTCGTAATAGACAGAAGTCCGATTCAAAGGACGTCATGTGGTTAAATTGATCTGACCTCCCTTTGCAGAACTCTGGAGATGGAATATTGAACTTCTTGAGTGTACAACTTCTGCAATCTCTCCTACGAATATATTCTCCAATGACTTTTGACGCTTCCTTCTTCTCCTTGCTCTTACTTCCGAGGAATCCAAGGCACACAATTCATTTCTTTCTTTCTCAATCAGCCTTGTGGCTAGAGCCCTTATCGTTCCTACTCTAGGAGGCTCTTGTCTAGGTACTTCCGCCTATGTGTTATGATTATGATGATCACATGAACATCCTGAGATGGGCTATAGCACAAGTTCTAAAGATCTCGTCTTCCCTCTTATACCATCTTTCTCATCTGCTTTTTCAACTCATTAATTTGTTGCATAACAATTTCTCTAGCACAGTCCATATTCTACTTCGTTCTTCCTAGTGTTGAAGGTCCCCTTGTTGAGTTTGGGTATGAACTACAAACTCACCACATCTTTTAAGATGTTAAATCCTTTTAGAACGTAGGATCTCATATTATTTGTGGGTTTATGCAACTTTAAAGAGATCTTTTTAGGGAGAAGTACTGAAGAAGGAAAGAATGGGGTGGTAATCCCCTCCCAAAAATTAGTTCTTAGCTTTCGGTCAAAGACTGGACCAGAAAGAAGACGACAATGAGAGCCAATCTTCAACCCCCCCTCCTCACATTTACGTCTCTCTCCCTTAGGTCCCCCCAATCCTTTCCCCCTGATAGAAGGAGAAAAGGTGAATAAAAAAACGTAGATCGTACAATCTAAAGCCTGTCCATGATGTCCTCGAGATAAGATGGAGACGTGGATGTCAATAAGCTCATAAATAGATACAGATGTGTGTCTGTTCTTGAGTGATGTTCTTCATGTCGATAGATTTGTAAATCTCGATGAGCAATTATGTAGAGCTCGGCGGGTCACTTCGGCAAGTAAGTTTGACTTGCAAAGGTGACCAAGGCTTGTCCTAAAAATGAACTATTGGGCCTTCCATGCCCACGAAATCCACCATCATATGTTTCGGCCATTGAAGCCACATGTGAGAATGCATGAGTAAAGATTCTTTTAAGAGAGTTTGGGTTTCCAATTACTTATTCTATAGTTTTATATTGAGACAGTTGTACTTACATCAATTTTTCCAAAAAACATTTGCTCTATTAGTACCAAATATATTGAGGTTGAATGTCAATTCATTCAGGATACAGTGTTTTCAAAAAATAGATTATTATTCTTCATGTTTATAATACAAAGTTGTCAATCTTTTACAAAAGCTTTGGATTCTCTATCTTTCTCTTAAATATGTGATAAGCTAGATTTTACTGATATATATGCTCCAACTTAAGGGGTATTAACATGAGAAACATTGATTTAGGAAAGTATCATGTACTTAGTAAGATATAATCTCTTGTTATATCTTAGAATATGGCACTCATTCCTCCATGTATAATAAATGGTCCTTCTAGTGAATGATGCACAGCAAAGAGCTTTCCTCTCTAAAAATAAATATTTCAAATATTATTCTTGAGATAAAAAACAGTAATAGAGCAATATATTTCTTTTTTTCTTCATTCATACCAGATGATGCACTGCTTGATTTAGCATTACTTAACAACTCAAAGAAGTGCATAACTACAAACTCCTATGCCAAATTCAATTGCAATGTAACTAAAACAGTAGAGCAGCCAAATGACTATACACAAAAATGAAAATATCAAACAAAACGAAGAGATTCTTTTCAAGAAAAACAAGGATGAGGGCCATATTATTTATTGAGAAAATAACACTGACCAAAGGCTAATAGCTAAGGCTATTTGGTTAAGTGGACAAAACAGATTTGAGCTCTCGCACCCCCAATACGTTGAAGCATGGACAGAAATTTGACCACCGCAGGGGGAATAGGCAGAACCAAGTAACATTTATTAGGCAGATGATGTGAAAAGCTGAAGACAGGTCCAGGGTTGCTACATTTGAAAACTCAAAATGTGTGGCTTTGTTAGCATGTCAGTGAGCAGTGAAACATGGAAGCAATTTTAAAATACTGTCATGAATTCATAAGAATGTAATTAATGCAAACAGAGAACTTTGATCCATTTGCATCCAATAAAGTTAAACTTCTTGAGACATTTTATTATCATATAGTTGATAATAAACAACAAAATGCCTTTATATGTAAAACATTATTCCATGCACTTAAAAGAGCTTATATTTCTTTATACGATACACTTGAACCTCTTGTGTCGCTGCACAATTACAAAAAATACAACAAGTATGAGGTCAAGAAGGTTAAACAAGTAACTTGAAAAATAGAATTGTACAAGGTACTTAAAGCAATTCAACATAAAATTTAAATCAAAACCAAACATACCAAACTTCGGCCTGTAATTCCTTCAAGGTCATTTTTTGCACAGGCAAAGAATCAGACTCCTCATCTTTCCATATGATGACAACATCATTTGGGCTTTTCTTATCATCTGCATGCAAGCAATTTGCAGCAGCATTAATAGTAGCCCCGGGTAACCATTGACCTCCAGGATAAGAAGTATGCTCCCTCACAATTTGTGATGGTGGCTCATAAAAAAATATTCTCATCTCCTCAAAGACCAATTTCCAGTAGACCTACGCAAGGCACAAATGAATCTAAAATCTAGAATTCAAATTAAATGGTATCATTAATCGTCTTTTCAAATTAACCTTGAAAAGAGTACCTCTGGATTGGTGACAGAAAACTCCTGAAAATCAGAAAAGTTTGAGATGGGATCCCTGTATCTAGGACCAAGAAAAGCTTTTCCATGACGCTCCAGCACTCGTCCAATGTTCGTCAATACAGCATCCTCTCTATGTATTTAAACAGTCGTTTTTCACAACAAACACAACTTAAGAAACTCAGCAAGCTAATGAATACATCTGTTGAAACTTAATCATATCTTGAAATAGAAAACAGCAGACAGCAGATCAAGTCATCAACTATGCTTTCCAGACTTCTATTCCAAGTGAGGGCATTATGTAAACTAAGAGACGAACATCTCCTAAAATTCTCTCACTTTAGGATCCCCAAAGTAATGTCTAAACCCAATGCCAGCCCTATCGACTAAATCAACAAGAACACTTCAGACAGCTATTCAAGCATCATTATAATGCAAGATATTATCGTATGAATTCTATCTTTCCCACGGTTTGCTCAAAAAATGTATTACATCGTAGCTTTCACTAGACAAAGATGCTTTCATCATCAACACTATCAATTCATCCAACAAGTTCAGCAATTTACTCAAAATTCTGAAAAACAGAAAATATTCATTTACAAATTGAAAACAATTCAGCACATAGTTTATGGCCGAAATCCATGTACATAAAACCCAACATAGAAACAAAGCGTGATGTAGAACAATTACAGTTCCGGGATCCATGCGGGCGGAGTAGCCGATCCGAACTCCTTGTAACATCCGTAGTAGATCATCTGGTGGAAGGCAAAGGGGAGATCGGGGTTCAGGAGACGCCGTGAGAGGAATTTCCAAGCAGCTGGGCCGGAATTCCCCTGCTTCCGCAGAATTGCAGTGAGCTCTCCATGGAGCCTCTCCGCCTCATTCGCCGGCAAGCCTGTGGACGATATGTGCTCGACGGTGAGCTCATCGAGGGACCTGACTGCCATGGTTCAGTAGGGGAATGTTTGTCACGAAGTAAATCCAGCAAAACTAGCAGAACTTGAACGCACGCTGACTGTGATGTTTAGATAAATTCTGAGCCTTATCCAATTTTTTGTCGTTGGGATTAGTTTATTTTGTGTTTTAAATCTGAATTTATTAAATTTAGTGTTTAAAATATATTTGGCTTCTTTTTGGCAAAACTGTTTTTGTCTGTTTAGTTGTTTTTTCCGTCAGATAAAATTATCTGCAGTAGCCGCTAGAAAGTTGTGATCGATAAAATTATCTGCAGTAGCCGCTAGAAAGTTGTGGTCTGAGTTTTTCAAAAAATAAAAATTTGTAATAGTCAGTGCAATTTTTGAACAACTATTTATGAGTTTTTCAAAAAAAAAAAAAATTGTAATAGCCAGTGCAATTTTTGAACAACTATTTATTCTTCAGCTTCATAACTGTTTTTTCAAACAACTGTAGTTGCCTCAAACAAATCTAATGATCACTCCCGACGAAAAAGTAAATCCTTAAATTTGACACGCATTCGGATTTAGTATATCCGGATTTAGAAATGGAATGCAATAAACATAGACTGAACGTATAAAATTTTGTTTTAAACCCATGTCTAAATCATGTTTAAACAATGCTAACAAACACTGCCTTAGCTGGATTTTACAATTTTAGCTAAAAAGGAAAATATGTGGAACGTGTCAAATGAATTTAACTATATTTAATCTTAATTAAATCAGGCCTTTGACGGACAAGCAATAGTTTCTATTTTGCCATTTTTGTTTTTTTATTATTTTTTTTAAGATTTCTTTCATATTTTTTTATTTGATTATTGCTTTTTATTACTTTTCATGAATTTCTATAATAAGAATTATTTTTAATAACCAAATTTCAATAATTAAATTTAAAACCTACAAATATATCCCTCTTAATAGCTCTTTAAGAATTTATTTTCTCTTGTACAAATTTATAATAATCTCTTCTAAAAAAGTGTAGTTGCTTCTAATGGATCATATTTTTAAGGCGCATATTAGTTGTTAGAAGCCTATTACACACATCTAGGCTTACTTGACAATAATTTTTTTTATAAAATTTATTAAAAAAAATACTTGCAATAACTATTAAAATTATTTTCATAAAAATTATAAAATTATTTATTGGTGTAACCTCCCCAAATTGACATCAAAAGTGATGGGACACTTAAATTTATCTTTAGATTCAAGTTTAAAGATGATATTGAAAAGAAGATTAATGAAGTTTTCTCAATTATTTTCTTAGGTTTTTAAATATTAATAGTTATAAGACTGTTTGGTGACAAATGCCCTAGAGTTAGAACTGCAAATGGGGGTTTTGTTAACTAAGAGCTTTCAAAAAGATGTTGATGAACACATGCAAGCAAAGGGTTGGGGTTTGAAGGAGTTGAAATAACAAAAATCTCATAATAGCGGTCAGTCAATCAAGGAGAAGGCTAAAATTGGGAATCCTTAATCTTGACTTTAAGCTTTTATATGGAGAGGTTGGGTAACTCCAAAGCTTAGAAACACATAGACTAGTTAGGTTAATGTTTATAAACGGGATATAAAATTATTCGCGCCTTTTTAAAGCCCTTACATAATTTTTTATAAGTTTCATAACATGGCTAAGTCATTAGAAAACCAAGCATAGCCACCAACTTGTGGTTAGATGTTTTTCCTTAGTCAATGCATTTAAGGTTAGGGTAAAATTATCAAAATACCCATAACTGATATTGAAATATCTTTATATTTTATTTTGTGCTTTCATAATTTTTATGTAATTTAATATGATTAAAATATCAAAGGAGAAAGATTATATTCTATCTGTAGTTGCCTTTGTTAGAAGCTCAAAGTAAGTTTTATCTAAGGTTTTATGGTGAAATTATGGAGGGAGTTATATGGGAAGTTAAATGAAGGATAGAACTTTGATTATATGCTAAGAAGTAAAGATATTACCTAAATAAATAAATAAACAAATAACTTAATTGTTCATCATATCATTAACTTGAAGGGGATTATAAAACCCTTTCTAATGCGACTGTCCTCCACTTCTCCTGAAATAAATGTCATCTTTCTTCAATCTTCTAAAAAATACATGTAACTCTTTATTCTATAAATTTATATAGTCTAATACAAAATTCTAACGTAAATATGAAAAAAGAGGCAAAAGAGGGAGAGGGGCCTGATATGGCTCTTTAGTTTGCACCTTGTAATAAGCCCTTAGTCAACTTTCTTTTCACATTTGTCTTTAGTGCTTGATCATTTGCTCTTTCTATAACACTTTATGACACATTAATTCCCCTAAATATTTAAACAACACTTCTTTGAAGATGTTCGAGATTATCCTCCAATAACTAAGATGCAATCTTCTCTAATTTATTATTTTGTTATGCAAGAATATTGACTTGTAGCTTATTCTTCTACTTAACTAAGAATTTTCATATTTTATGTTGATTTTCTAAAACTTCATTCATAATAAAATCATCAACATAAAAAAATAAGTGTTAGATAAGTGCTTCCAAATGATAGTCATGTACTCTTAAAAAGTTATTATCATATAAAATTATAAATTTAGCTATTCCTTTATAGAATATTAAATCTTTAACATTAAAATTAGTTCTTATAAATAATTTATGAATCAATTCTAGAACATATGAATTAGATCTAAGTTTTATATTAATTATGATAAACCACATACTCTCACTTATAATTTTTTTTGGTGGAAGAAAATATCTCTACTCAGATGCAAATTAATCATGATCCCAAAAATCATTTTCATTAATAACTTAATTGTTACTTTTTGTTTAGCATGCTCGCCATTATTATTTTTAATTTATTTTTTAATATCCTTACAAAGGCCATTCAAATCATGTAAAACTTAAAATGTTGAATATAGGAATGCAAGCACAAGTGGATATACTAAGAAGATCGATACGTTTCTTAAGGCTATACTTAAAGAACTTTTTAAAATGTGTTTTATTTGTAGTTATTAAAGTAGTATTTTATGTGAAACTCTAGTGTAAGAATATAAAGATCTTAATATTCAATATTCTTTCCTGCCAAATATATCGACAAAGTTTATGAAATCCTTTTAATCATTTTTGCCTACCCATCAGTCTAAGGGCAAAATATAAAATGGAATTTGTCTTATATCTATCAGTTTCAACAATATTTTCTAATACTATGATATAAACTTAACATCTCAATCTAACGCTATAGTGGATGATAGTCTATATAATCTCTCAGTCTAGTTAAAAAAAAAAACATAAATATATATAATACATCCTGAGGGTCCAGGATGGACTAAGATAAAAGCAAATGGATAAGTACTCCCAAAGTCTATAGAGAATAGGCAAGAAAGTGTACTTTTTTAGATCAACATTTTATAGCTTTTATTGTTCACATGTATAATATTAAGTTACTACATTTTTAACATCCCTTCTAAGGAATGGGAAGATAAATCTATGCTCTAACAAGGTTATGATTTTAAAGTTTTTAAAATATTTTGCCGCCTTTTCTTAAAAAAATTTCATAATAAGTAATTTATTCAAAAATATTTGAGGGGTATTTAATATATTTCTTTTGTGAAGATAATTATCAATGATCATGTTCAAGCTAGAAAAGATAAATGAGACCTTTGATTCATGCTCTAAGCATGTTAGATGAAAATTTAACAATTCTTATAATTATCCTTTAACTTTTTAAAACTTTGAATTTAAAGTTTTAAAGTAGTAATCAGTAAATAAAATCTAAACAATGTAACTACTAGTTGATTCTCCTCTCTAAAGAATAAAAGTAATTTTGAAGGTACTCTACTAACTTAGTATGTTCATAATTTAGTTTTATTTGGGTATCGATGAACCTTAAGTATGATATTTCTGTTAAGAATAAGCCCATAGTGTTAGAGAGACTAAGTGATGGCATATAACTCTTTATCATATGTGAAATATATTTTCTACTATCATTAAGAATCTCACTAAAAAGGACCACTAGATAGCTTTTTAACTTAACATTCCTTTTATGCTTACTAATGAAGTGGCACAAGTTACATTAAATGTCTTGATAAAGTTAGAAGGTCTGAGTATTAGAGAAGATGTCAGAGTAACTTTGATTTATTCCGTAACTTTATTTTTAGTTATTTTATAAATAAAAATTTTTATTAGAATATCTATGATTAAAGCTATAATAGTGCTAAAATATTTTCTATTGAATTGTCTATAGAAGGTTATAGGGTCATTAAACTTTCATACACACGCAAATAATTTGGAGACTGTCCTATCTATTGAATGGAGAGGCCCTCTCTGACGGCCGACAACTTCGAGCATAAGTGTGTCATTTCCCCATGAACGAGAAAATTTTGCGTACATAAGACGTACACAGCGCTGCGTACGTCAGGTAGGTTACAGGGAGGGTATTGGGGGTTATATCCGTGTTATACCCCATGTAACATTCTTGTAACCCACCTGTAACCTACATGTAACTAGTAAGTTTCACGCTTCTGTTTTTATGTATTTCTAAGTTACAAGTAGGGATATAACCTTCAATATCCTTCCTGTAACATAACTCACGTACGCAGCGTTGCGTACATCTAATGTACTCAAATATTTCTCCCCACGAACACAAGTATCTCTCCCCGAAAGGCAGAAAAATTCTACGCGCAAAGCAACAACCTCTTTCTCCATTCGGCCACCCTCCCAAGACCTCAACAACCCATCACTATCTCCCTAAGGATATCCCATGAAAGAAGGAATTATTCCTCTATTTTAGCAAGACAACAAAGCAGGAAATCAGAAGACACTCACACCTCCCGACAACCTCCTCTTCACTTGCCACGATGGGAGGGACCTGGTGAACCACACTTCTACCTTCCCCGAGAGAAAAATTATTGTCCCTCCTCTGTCCCACAACACCCAGTTCCATAGCATCTTGCTCCACAACATGTTTCGCAGTGTTTGCTCCCCTACAACGATTTGCTCCACAACGGTTGTATTGTCTTTACGACCAACATTGAGATCTGATGAGATATAATTGATCATCATGACCTCTATAG